GCCTCAGCAGTATTTTAATAGCCTTCCTCAATACCAGAAATACCTAGCTATAAAATGTAATAGGAAAATCAAAGTGGATTCACCACCAAATTTAATTAAAATCAAATATCTTGTAATAAACTTAGAAAACTTAGAAAATACTTAGGAGCAATAGGAAGAAAACTATAAAATGTAGCTGAGGACAGAGGAGGTGATAGAAATGAGTAGAGGGCAAACCATGATGTAAAAATACCAGATTTCTTTACAATAATCTCTAATTTTATTGTAACTAGTTTTAGAACTTTATAATAACTCTAATTTTTCTTTGAAATGGAAGCTAGGACAATGAAGAAAAACAATAAAGCAGGGACACTTATTCTAGTAATATTAGATGTTTAGGAAATACATAGTAATTTAAAAATTTTGATGTAGTATGAATAGATCAATGAAATAACTATTGAGTAACATCCAGGTATATCTATACCTTACAGCTAATAAATCATGTAAGGTTATATCTAAGAAATAATACTAAAGTTGATTTTTTGAGTCAGAGAAGATACTGGCAATTGAGAGGACAGTTGGAGGAAAAACTGAAAGTAGATTTCTGCCTTTCGTTTTGGAGAGATAGATAAAAAGATTTAGTGTATAAGTAACTAACAAAATATAAAATATTTATTTAGCCTTCAGATGGGAAAAGATTTCCAAGCAAAACACTAAGGTAGGAAGCATAAATACAAAAGGTCTCTTGATTTGACTTTATGAAAGTTTTATGTAGTCATAAACAAACAGTATTAAAAGGAAAACAAAAAAGTGGAAAGGTTACAATATGGCAAAAGAATTATAAGAATTATATTCCTCCCCCATCCCCAGGCAGTTCTCTGATTTTTGTTAGGCAGACACTGTGCCTCTTAACCCACACTCCCAGTCCTATTTACTTTAGTTATTTTCAGATAAGGTCTTGTGCTTTTTGCATGGGCCAGCCTTGGACCGTGATTGTCCTACTTACGTCTCCTTTGTAGCTCTTATTACAGATGTTCACCACCTGGCCTGACTTGTTTGTTGAGATAATGTTCTCGCTAACTTTTTGCCTACGCTGGTCTCAAACCATGATCCTGACTGATCTCCTCTTCCCAAGTAGCTGAGATTAAAGGCATGAGCCTCCATGCTCAGCTAAAAGAGCTATATCTTAATTAAAAACTTCTGATGAATCAAAAAAACCTACAATTCTAATTTATAGCATGACACAAAAGTAGTGAAGTGATACAAAATTTCAGTGCTGATACAAAATTGCAAATTAAATTACTTTTTCATCAGAATGGCAAAGATTCAGAAGAACCATATTGATAGGATGGTGGAAATGGGAAACTTGAATATATGGTTTTGATGGTTGTCTAACCTGGTACACACACTTTGAGAAGTCATCTGGCAAATGTGCAAAGAACACAAGTGTGTTCATGCTAGCATGGTAAATCAGGTATTTCTGATTTACTGTTGACCATGAAAGGCAGACTCTAGAGTTCTTTTTTGTTGTTAAAGATGTGTATATTTATTTGTATATGAAACATTGTCATCTCTGAGTAGTATTATGGATTATTTTGTTTAGTTTTCTTCTTTATTGTTTTCTATAGCAAACTCACATTTTACCTTGACAATAACTTTTTCTGGTAACAAAAACTAATGATGCACATCAGAACACGTGTGTTGTTTATAAGTTATATAAATAATATGCAGGATCTTTCTCACATGTTACCCCGCACCCCATACATACACACATATACTCTGTTGTAAAATTAGAAGTTAGTGGTAATAACTTTGTTAGTGGAGCTATGGAGACTACCTATTGGTTTAACAAAGCAGTTACTCTCTCGAGCTCCTTTTCAAGGACTGTAGCTTCTATCTAAATTTCTTGGGTTTAAATTAAAATCTACCCTATACAGTTTTTATCCTTCAAGTAAAAGAATTAGCCTTTGCATGTTTTAAGCCCCAGGAATTCAAGGAGACAGAGTTGTTTTTCCTAAAACAGCTAGTTGTAGAATTTTAGGGATAGAGTTAGCTAAAGTTTAGGTTCAATAAGTAGTGATACCAGGTCTGAGGTTCCAAAGAGATGGTTAGAACAATTTCACTGTTAGATTATAGTTGTCAGGTTAAATTTATAGCCAAGAGGAGACCATGTTTTGTGAAATCTTCTTTTGATTTCTAGCAAGGCAAGATGAGAAAGATTCAAAACCAGTATTTTCATTGCTGAGATTTCCAAATATTCCCCAAATATCTTTCTATTCTAGGAGTTATGGTTTACCGATTGTTCCTGAACCTGCTGATGCACACCAGAGTTACCTGGGGAGATTATTAAAAATACAGATTCTTGGGCTCCACCCCCGGAGATTGTGAATCAGTAAGTAGACCTGAGGTAGGGGCCTGAGAATTTGTATTTTTAAGCAAGTATATTTCAGGTGATTCTGATGCTACTAGACTGCAGCTTGGGAATCACTGGTTTAGTGGAAGTAAATATGGTGGATGACATGGCATTTGTATTTAGGTGAAAAATGCTCTAGATAGTTTATACATTGGACAAGCATTTTTAATAACTGACTTTCTTTATTCTCTTTTGAAGTTGCTCCCCAAGCAGGGAGAAGAAAAGAGCTCGCTGGGAGGAAGAAAAAGACAGATGGAGTGACAGTCAGAACTCTGGCAAAGAGAAGAACTATACCTCAATCAAGGAAAAAGAGCCAGAAGAGACACTGCCTGACAAAAACGAGGAGGAGGAAGAAGAGCTCCTTAAACCTGTGTGGATTCGATGTACCCATTCAGAAAACTACTACTCCAGCGATCCTATGGATCAGGTGGTAGGTCTGAAATAGGAGGGAAGCTGTAGACCAGGGCTTCTCCTCCTCAGCACTATTGGTGTTTTGTGCCAAATATTTCTTTGTTGTAGAATACTGAGTAGTGTCTGTGGGCCCTACCTTTTAGATACCTGTAGCACCCTATCTCCCATAGTGACAACCAAAAATGTTTCCAAATATTGCCATGTGTCCTCTGGGGAGAAATCACTTCCAGTTGAGAATCTCTACTACAAACTAGAGATTTTTTTTTTTTAATAAACCAAAGACCAAGAGTGCAGTATGTTAAATAAACATCTATTCTGCAGTAGTTCAATTGTCCTGAGTCCTACTGAACTCAGGACTTCACACTTGCAAAGCAGGTGCTCTACCACTTGAACCACTCCTCCAGTACAAGTTTGTTTTTAAGTATATCCTTGGCCAAAATATCATCAATCATATGAAGTTTGCAGGTGTGAGCTACTACGCCTGGCTGGTATTATTGTTCTTAAAACAACAAAGATGAAGCCTCTAGAGTTCAGAAAGTTTAAATGAGTGAAGCAATTTTTTTTCTTACATTGTTATATGCATATTAGAAGGGAGGCTGATAGGTTCCACAGCCTGACAGCTGCCTTTGAGTTTTGTTGTGTGGCACAGAGAAGGTGGTAAGATTGTCAGATCTGTCATGGTGTCACTAGTCTCACCAGTGAGGAGAGGCCTGAGGAAAAGTAGTTATCTCTTTTTCTGGGTGGCACATACTATGATTTACCTTCATTTTATGTTTACATTTGAAGTGTGTAGTTTTTACATTTTGGCATTACTAAGTTAAAGAGTCTGGGGATTTAAAGCGATTTTTGTTCTAGAGGAAGTGGACAGAAGCAGAGACCTTCCTCTAGGATGTGTTGTAGAATCCCAGTGGTTGGAGTGGGTGGGTGGGAGGGGAGGATTTATAGGTGATAACTTTTTGTTCTGAGGGTCATGATAAAAGGGCCCAGAATAGTTCTAGTGTTTGTAAATGTTGGCAGAGTACATTACCTGAGGACTGTCAGCCATACAAGTGTGAGTGAGTTTGACTCAGATGGTCATTGCCAGCACTGGGCATTTTATCTTTCTATGTTTGTTAAGTTGGGGGACTAAAAAAATGCCATCCTGCCACTTAAAATTCTTTGTTTACTTTTGAGGTCTTATCTGTCTTTGGTATGGTTCATTATTAATACAGTTCCTTATATTGATTCTTTATTTGAAAAGGGAGATTCTACTGTAGTTGGAACAAGTAGGCTCCGTGACTTGTATGACAAATTTGAGGAAGAGTTGGGGAGCAGGCAAGAAAAGGCCAAGGCCGCTAGGCCTCCATGGGAACCTCCAAAGACGAAGCTAGATGAAGATTTAGGTGAGTGGAAGAGCCACAGACTAAGACTCTGTGCTTTTTTTTTATTGCTTATTCCTTGCCTATTGGGAAGTATCTTTCACAGTCCCCAGTTGAAATCTTATTCTTCATTTTTTTTTTCCCTTTATTACAGTCAGTAAAAATCATGGTAGTGGAATGTTCTTTTTTTTTTTTTGCGGTACTGGGGCTTGAACTCAGGGCCTACACCTTGAGCCACCCCACCAGCTCTTTTTTATGATCGGTGTTTTCGAGATAGGGTCTTGTGAACTATTTGCCCAAGCGGGGTTTGAACTACGATCCTCCTGATCTCTGTCTCCTGAGTAGCTAGCATTACAAGCGTGCGCCACTGGTGTCGGCAGAATATTCTTTTTAATCTTATTTCCTAAAGTTCCATTCAACAGACTATGTAAGAGATCTTATTTACAAAGCTTGGTAGAAAGTGTATCCCTTTCAGAGTTGGCCAGTCTTAGAATCAGAAGGGAACGTAATTCAGCGTGCCACTGAAAGCAGGAGCCTGCGCTCTAAGCTTCTGAAGATTGTGGGCAGCCCCTCCTTGGCCCTTTCTGTTGCCTGGTGCTCCTAGTTTGATGAAGAAACAACAACTGCAACCCATCCCTATTTGAAGGTTTCTTTTTCTTACATTGACAGTTCTTATAACTTTTTCATATTTTGGTCTAATTTTTCAAGTTTGTGTTCTGAGGTTCTGCGTAGATGGTGAGATCTTTGAGGCGGAAGATACTTTATGCCACTTCATGTCCTTAATGCCTCACAGAATGCCATGCACAGATGAGACATTTGATATGCTGTGACCTGTTCTCTCTGCCTCTCACCTGCCCACCTTCATTATGTCTCATGTTGAAAGTGAAACAATGACTTGGAAGCCAGAGAGCCTGACTTGGAATTTCTGTTCCACGTACTTATTAAATGACTTTGGTAAAAGACTGGGCAAGATATTTAATCTCCCTGTGTCTCAGTTTTCCCAGTGTAAAATGGAAATGACAGCAGTATCTGTCTGCCTCTTGTAGTACACATAAACAAAACTCTATGATAACTGGACTTATTATGCTACTTGGTGCTACATTAATTCCTTGTAGGGTTATTTCTAACTTCTAGGTCTTTTTTGAAAATTATAAAACACACCAATGTAAAATTTCATTTTAAACACTTTAACTGTGCAGTTAAATAGTATTAAGTACATTCACATTGTTAGCAACCAATTTCCAGAACACTCTTCATCTTATAAAACTGAAACTCTGTACCCATTAAGCCAGAAGTACCTCCCCGGAAAATTTCTCCCTCAGATCCTGACAACCACCCCCACTTTCTGTCCCTGAATTTGACTACTTCAAGTACCTCATGTAAGTGGAAGCATGCAATAGTAGTCTTTTTGTGACTATTTCACTTAGCATGATTTCATCTGTTTTAATGCAGTCATGTTCAAGGACTAAAGTCTTGTATTGATATTATTGAGAGAAAAGTGTGAAATCTTCAATGTTGCATTCACAGCCTCTTGTTTGGCATTTGCAGTGCTCCCAATCCCTCCTCCCAGTATTGCTCTGTGGGGCTACTGCTCTAGCCAGAGTCCACCCTGCTCTTACCTCCATGCCTTGCCTATAGGGCTCCTCTTCATTTCTTGCCTCCCTTACTAGTCATCCTCCTCTCCTCCCAGTCTTAGTAGCTGAGTCACACATGCCCTTCCATAAAATTGTCGCTGACCTTTCTGGATCGTAGGAGACTAACACTTTTCTGAATTGACATTTTTTTTTAAGTAATTGTGTCTGGCATTAGGTCTTATTTTCTTTGTAAAAATCTGTATTTTCGTTGTTTACTTAATTAGATTATCACTTAGCATTATGGGCTGTATTTTTTTCATGGCATCGCTTAGCAGTTTGTTGTAAAGCAGCCCCTCAAATGTTTTCTGGAAAAATAAATAACTGTCCTTACATTTAGAGGTTTAGGTCATTTGAAGCCTCACACAAATTTGTGAGTTTCTTTGACTTCATCTTTGTTTTCCTCACCCTTTATTAGAGAGCTCCAGTGAATCTGAATGTGAGTCTGATGAGGACAGCACCTGTTCTAGTAGCTCAGACTCGGAAGTTTTTGATGTCATCGCAGAAATTAAACGCAAAAAGGCCCACCCTGACCGACTTCATGATGAACTTTGGTACAACGACCCAGGCCAGGTGCGAGTGTTTTTATGTTCTTGCTATGAATGTTGCAAACTCACGCATCACATCTATGGCTCCAGGCTCAGAAGATACATGTTGGCTAGTATTGAAATGGAATTTTACTCTCAGGGTTGTATGTCATTTTTCAGAACTCATTTCTTTTCAACTTGAGAGTTTAGCTCCAAAGCATAAGCACCAGAGCACCTGTTCCTTGAATCATAGTTGATGACATTTGTAAATTCTGTACTGGGGAGCAGGATAATGGTGCTACCTCATTAAGCTTGCAGTAGAAGGAAGGAGATGAATGGCAGGAGGAGGAGAGAGAACTTGTGGGTCTCTTTAGAAGCAATTCACCTGGAAGGGATCTTACTGCAAAATAGCAAAAAAAAAAGTCCTATAAAATTTTCATTTTCATTTACAAGGACTGTCAATTGGTCACAGTCCTTGTAAGTTCTCTTTCTCTTTCAACAATGTAACAGTTGAATCATTTTATTTTCAATTATAATTCATTTTAATAAATCTTAAAAATTTTCTTTTTCTTTTTCTTTTTCTGTTCTCACTTCTCCTCCCTTCCCCTCCTCTCTCCTCCCTTCCCCTCCCCTCCCCTCCTTCATAGCCCATGCTGGCCTTGAACTCATAATCCTCCAGCCTCAGCCTTTGGAATGCTGGGATTACAGGTGTGAAACACCATGCCTAGTTTTAAAAAGGGTGTCTTTATAAAAAAATTTGTTTCTACAAATATAGAGTACATACCAAAATACTATTTTTATGAATGTGAAATTATTAAGCATAATAAAACATATACCTACATGTTTTATAAGATAAATTTTTAATTTTGTTAATAAATTCATACCATTCTGTATTAATTAGAATGTTCTTCTGGTTCTTCTTAGATGACAGCTATTGAAAAGAATTTGGATAGATTAATATCATTAGAATGACTGGCGAAAATGTATTTTGGTGCCTTGGAATTGAGCAGAAATGTTTACAGAATTGCTAGTGCATTTTAAAACTTACTTTAATATATGTGGTTTTCTGTTTAAACAGCTTTGTTGAGCTGTAATGTACATGGTACAATTTACTCACAAGTTTATACTCCTATGTTCTGATCTAATTTTGGAACATTTTCGTTTCCCCTAAATGAATCCCTTCCCTGTATGTGGTATTTCTCCAGGCTGTTGAGAAGCAACCACCTTGATTTCTGTGGACTCCTATTCTGTGGATTTAGAGATTTGCTAGGGCTTCTGTATTGGCTCACTGTTCTGTTTCTTTTATTTGTTTTGTGTCCCCTGGATAGTTGAGGTTTGTAAAGGGCCGATCCAGGTAGGAGCCCAGACTGCAGTAAAAGGCAAGAATGTAAGATGTCTGTCTGATCCCCTGGAAATCAATGAGCACTAAGTAATTTCCACATTTTTATCATAACGAGTTATGACCAGCATTAAGAATGTGTTGTGACTTTTGATGAAAACTTACTATGCCTCTTACGTGCCAGCTGTTACTTCAGATAATATCTTGACAGTTTTTCAGACAGTAATGTTGTTTCCCTGCTATACCACCTGGAGCTTTAGAGTTCCCAAAGGTGAAAGGAAGACAAAGCTTTTCACTTTGCTGTTTTCAAAGCCCTTTTGAGAAACTTTCATTTATTTTAATTGGGCACATGAATTGCCATTGTCTAGAACTTTAAAGAAGTATGTATAGATACACAGTCATCCCTTGGTATCCAAGTGGGATTTGTTCCAGGGCCCCCATAGATACTAAAATCCATGGATGTTAGAATCTTTTACATAATATGGAATTTAGTATTTGCATACAGCATACACATACCTTCTGGCAAACTTTAAATTATCTTTAGATTGCTTATAATACCTAATACAATATAAATGCTGTGTAAGTAGCTGTTATACTTTATTGTTTAAAGAATGACAAGAAAAAAAGTCTCTTAACTATTCAGTACATTTATGCTAGATAAAATTCTGAATTTTTTTTTTTTTTTTTTTTTTTGCTGTGCTGGGGTTTGAACTCAGGGCCTACACCTCGAGCCACTCCACCAACCCTTTTTTTGTGATGGGATTTTTCAAGATAGAGTCTCTTGAACTATTTGCTTGGACTGGTTTTGAACTGTGATCCTCCTGATCTCTGCCTCCTGAGTAGCTAGGATTACAGGTGTGAGCCACCGGTACCCGCAGCATGAAATTCATTTTTAAGCCTCTCTAGATTTTTATTTCAGTTATGTTTTAGGCTTCTCACTTACAAAAATGATCCTTCCCATTTATTTGGGTCTCATGTCCTGAGAGCATACATGGGCTTCCTGCCTTCTCTTTTTTTGCATGCCAACTGGTGCTTTATGTGGAATTGTCACCTTTTCCTCTGTTGTCCAGCTCTTCTCTTTTTTATGAAGACTTCTCTGATCAACCAAAGCAGCTCCTGTGGTGCATCCACTTAGATGGATTTTCTTTTTCTTTTAAAGTACGTAGGCATATCATTTGTTCTGTCTGGAGTAATTGTGAGTTCATGAACGTTGTGCTACTTATCCCCTGTGCTTAGCACTTATAGCTTTGTCCAAGAGACATTGAAGATTGTTCACCAGTTGAGTCATATAGGTGGGGTTCAAGCCAGTAAAATGAGTTTAGATGAAAGAAGATATATTATAACCTGACATGTGTTGAAAATTTTTAGTGTTGAAAGGGTCTAATAAGCATTTTTTTCTTCGTTTCACGGGTACCTTAAGTTTTTTCTCTTTAAAACATTTAATCTGTAGGTCACCTTCAAAGCATTCTGTGCTTACCTCCCAGATATAAAGTGTGTTTTTTGTCTTTTTTTTGAAGGAGTCATTTTTCCTGAAATAACAAAAAGGAAAAAATGTCCTGAAGAGAGGTAGGAGAAGATGGGGGCACATAGTGTGCTGACATTGATATTTCCTGCTTGACTGCACAAATAACTTGGGAGTCCAGTGTTGTCATACAGTTTCCCTTTATCAGACAGTATAGACAGTTTGTAGCTTTATTGGTTTTGGAACATCCATTTAATCTTCTAACCATGACAGCCTTTTCAGAGCCTCAGTACTCATGACATTAAACCCCACAGTTTCTGAGGCATCATTGTGCATGGTGTGGATTTTCTCCCCAATAAAAACGAATTGCATTCTGTTTCTGACAGATGAATGACGGACCACTCTGCAAATGCAGTGCAAAAGCGAGACGCACAGGAATTCGACATAGCATTTATCCTGGAGAAGAGGTAACTGGTTTGGGTTATGATGTTTGTAAGAGCTGAGCAGCTAGCAGTAGACAGATGTTGCTGTTCTTTTCTCAATAATGCCATCAAAATAGCCTCTTCATATTCCCTATTATAGTCTCTGTCACTGATAATTGCAGAAGAAATGTATTTGTATTTTCAGGGTAGAGTGTGGAATGTAATCAAGAAAACATTTCAAAGGTTAGAAAGGCTCATTATTTAAATTACATGAGGTGTTTTTAATGTGTATTTTATTTTAAATATTCTAAAACAGTACACAGCAGTATTCTTTTCATGCTCATCATAAATGGAGAAGCGGTCTCATTCAAGTTCTCTGAGGCTCATGTTCTTTTTCTTTGGGGTGCATGCCCACCTTTGCTGCCTGCTGGTGCTTCCCCTTCACAAAGGCACTGTCTTTGTTAATCTCTTCTCTGCCAAACTAAGTAACCCAGTGACTCTGTACCCCAAGCCCCTGGTTTCTCAGGGGTACTCTAAGCTTGACTGAATGAATGGAGCACTTATACATTGCAGAGTCGTCTATACTCCCTTTTGTTTGTCTTCATTTTTTCCACCATATCTTTCAATTTTGTAAGCTTTTTTATTAGTCCTAGGATTATCACCTTATTATCTAGTGCATTGTATTTAAACATAGAATATTTAAATACTAATTTCTGCTTAAAATTTGTTTGAGGCATAACAGTAATTGAAGTAAAGATTACGAGACAGTGTCTGATAATTTGAAATACTTGGCCTCACTTTTACCTCATTTGTCTTTCAAAGTTGGCAAATGAAGCCAGGAGTTGTGAGTTAAGATGGCATCTATGGTCATCTTATATGTGCCTCAGTTGGGAACTCTGAGATTTTGATTTAGGGGCCAAAAAGGAGAGAAGACGCAGGATTGAGCAGAAGGAGCAATCTAGCTGTGATGAAGGCCTCATCAAGCCTGGTTTGTCAGGATGTTCTTGGGCGTGACTGGATTGGCCTTCATATTCCCATCTCTCTTGGTCCCCAGAGCTTCCTCTCCTGGGAGGGGCATGACCTTAGGAGAGGGTGCTCTGCAGCTGAGGCTGATCCTGAAGGAACCCCACTGAGATGGTGACAGCTACAAGCACATGCTGACTACTTTTCCCCATAGTCGGGTAACAAGCTCCTGGGTAGTCAACTTGCTAGCAAGTGGCAGGTTGGTCTTCTCAAGGAGTGGTGTCATTTTCGAGGCTCAGATGTGGTCATTGTGGTTGGCCACTTGGATGTTTGGCAGTGGCACTTAGCTTGGTTAACTTAGACTTGTAAATGCTCGTTGTGCTGATGTGAAGCCTCCATCTCTGATACTGTAGCCCTTTCATTCATGTGCCTATCCTGTCCTTTGGCTGAGGACAGAGGCTGGCTGACAACAACTGCCCTGGCCTTCCTACTTGATGCTCTAGAGTCTGTTCCATGCTGGCTGCTGTCTGATGGACACCCATACTGATTTAGAAGTCACTATGCTTCCTCCCATTAGTCCACTTACAAGTAAGTCTTCACCCCAAGACCTTCTCATTCCTGATCTTCCAGTTCTTTGCTTTGAGCCTCTGACCAGATGGAATGGCCACCTGGTTCTGTATATGTTCATCTGTGTTCTAACTTCAGGCCATTTCTCTTTCCACACAAAGTGCTGACCAGGTAAACTTCTTCAGACTCTGTCCATTGGGGAGATTTTCCCTCATTGCTGTTGTTTGAAGCCATCCCAAAGCAAGGCTATAGTGCAGTCCATTTTTGGTTTGCATCTACTTGTCAAATGACCTGTTTACAAACCAAGCCTGGGCTTTTCCCTTCACCTTCATTGCTCTATCCTTAGTCATCAGATGAAGAAAGAGGGTTGGCACATGAATGGTAGAGCCATGGGGATCTGGACCATCTGTCCAGGCAGCCTGTTTGTGCCTTCTTCCTGTTGTATGTTTGACTCTGAATGTGCCACCTTCATCTTATGCTGGATTGTTGCTTGTGCCACTCTGCTTAATTCTTGGTGGGAATGACACAGACTGGTCTGGCCACATGTTTATCTGGTATCCTGAGGTCACACCTTCCATATCTGATGCAGGTCTTCCATATCTACCAGGAGTTTTTTTTTTTTTTTCAAAGACCTAATTATTTACTATAAATGACATGGCCTTATGCCAGAACAATAGAGATCATCACTGTGATTCTCCCAGTGAGGTCTTCCACATATTTCTTTTCTCACCAACACTGTGGGATCTGGTGAATTGTGTGGTGGCAGTAGCAGGAGTGCTTATTCTCCAGTCTGGAATCACTGAGGCCTTTCTCACTTGGCTCCCACTCGATGCTGGCAACCTTTTGCATCGCTCTGTAAATGGACTGGAGTGAGCTTTTTAAGTATAGGTTCTGCTGCCTCCTGAGCCCAAGGAGACCCTGGGTGTTGTGATTCCTTCTTCACTGTGGGAGATGGAAGATAGAATGATTTATCTCTTACTTTGGAAGGGATATCTTGGCATTCTCTTGGCCACTGAACTCCTAAAATTTGTGTGGGTGAGTAGACCCCTGAATTTTTGTATTGGTTTCTATTTTATCCTCTCTAGTGCATGTGTTTTTATCAAGGCCTATAGCCTGATGAACATGAAGTCACAGAGATAATGGAGCAGTGTGATATTGTGCAATATGTCTAGACAGTCCGGAGCTCTTTGGATATTATGATAGGGAGAGTTAGCACAGCCCTGGGACAAAACACTACATGTTGTGTATGAGACATTCTGATACCCATTTCTGACTGGGATAGAACACATTCACCAAATCAGTTGCCATGACTCTTGTAGCTGAGGTCATATTAATCTGCTCTCACTAAGCTGTAACACCTGGCACAATCAGAGCTATTGCTTGTGGTAGTCTACCTTTATCTTCTAGGATCCTTCAAGGGCCACACTGATGAATTAGATTGAGATATGGTGACAGCTGCCAGCACTGTGTTCTTCAGATCCTGAAGAATAGCACTAACTGCCATTGCTGTATTGTTTTTGATACTTGGATGGGGAGAATAGTGGTGGTAATTCCAGTGGCTTCTGCTTGCTTTTTCTATTTTGATTGTTCTTACTCCAGATTAGAACCCAAAGTGGAGTGGTGGTATCTGCTGATTTATACTACTTCCAGTGGTACATTCAAAGGCCAGGGAAATGACCAGTGATAGATATGTGGGTTCATTAGATTCACATTAAGCCAGACCTGCTGTAATCCACTTCTTACCTTGGTCTCATATTCTTCACTCTAACTGTGGTACTGTGTCCAATACTCCTTGAACTGAGTGTCCTCTTTCCCTCATGTGCAGTTCCTTGTGTAAATGGCCATAGGCCCTTTGAGGAGCAATAGGGTTGTCATCACTATTTTTGCTTGTTACAGTATTACCATATGCTTCTAGAATCAGGCCACCTTTTTAGCCAATAGATTTCAGTCCGTAAAACTTGATCAGATCTGCAACTGGGCAAAGGATAATGTGAGTGTTGTGGAGTGACCTGTCCTCATCCTCTTGGTTATCCATCCATTCTTAATTTCTTCTCTTAGTTTTACTCTTATTGATGATTCTTTTATTTTGTGTCCAAGGACACCATGTTTTGTGGACTATGGTACAGAGCCCCTTGGCTGCCACTTTGGCCTATTAGTCATAATGGTAATTATGTGACATGGTGTTTAGCAGTTCAGTCCTGTCGCCTGGCTTCTCTTGTTTCAGAAGTCTGTTATCCCTGTTGATATGTACCTACTCATCCTGTGGTCAGCCTGGCCTGCAGAGGAGGGCCCAGTGATTTTAGTGATGTAGTGCCACTCTGCAGCACGTTTCTTTTGGTGTGTGCTCTGGGAATTAATCTAGTATATTTTCCGGTTGTAGATACTGTATCCTTTCCAACAGGCCTGCTTCTTTTCTCCTCTATCTGCCATGGGGCCTTCTGGAATTTCAGTATCATCCAGGTGGGCCACTGCTTTTTAGAATCATCCTAAGGAGGGACTCTCCTGGTGTCTTTGAATCCTGAGTTCTCCCAAGTCAATAAACTCTTCCCTAGCCTGAAGCATTCTTAGTACCTGGTCCTCTGCAGGCTCATCTGACACCTACTGGCTATTTCTTGTAGCTCCTTTGGGAGATAAGCTAGCTCTTCCTAGCACCCTTCCAGCTGGGTTGTGCTGTGAAATAATTCTGATTATAGGTACACAGATATATCGTCTAGTAGGCAGATTTGTTGAGTAGTTTGTGTATGTATGTTGGGGGTCAGTGTTGTTTTATAAGATCTTTGATTTTCTTCTGGCACAGGCGAGTGATTGTTTTTTAACAGGGAGGGATGTACCTTCTCTGCAGAGTCAGAAGGTTTAGAGGAGTCTGAAGAGTTAAAATCTGAATGTTGCTATCCCAGGTTTCCAGGGCATTGACCCCAAGGAAACATAGCAGAAATACCTTGGTTTGCTGTCAGTTGTCCTTGAAGTGTGGCTGCTTTCACAGGTAAGTCCTGGGCTTGGTCCTGGTTTTCTCTGATCTCTCACTGCAGATGATAAGAGATTCTTTTTGTGCCTCTAAGGAGCCCTTTGATACTTTCATATCTGCTTCCAGTTGCCTTTTCTCCTCCTCTAATGTTACATTTCTGTAGAGCTGTGGTTATCTAAGTGAAGTCTTCTAACTAGTATCGGCTTGTTAGAAATGCAGATTCTCATGCTGGAGTGGGTATCCTGCAGACTGAGATTTAGCAAACCCTCCACGTAACTTCCAGGCAGATTAAGGATTGAGGACCAGGGTAGAGAATAAGGTACCTAATCATAATTGCCGTCCATTTCTAAAGGCTAATGACCCTTATTCTTATAGCTACCATTTTTCTTACAGTCCTAAATACCTGGTACTGTGTACCAGCTTTCATGGGTACAGCCTCCCAGTTAATGGTGTCTGAAAGTTTTAATTGGTTTGCCTTCTGGTGCTAGGGGCTATTTGTGCTGCACCTACTGCCAGGGATAGGGTCCTCTTTGCTAGTTGAATGGTAAGTGATTCAACTCCAAAGTACCATATTTGGTCTTGCTTTCTGGGATCACTCCTGGTACTAACTGCTGCCTATGCTAAGGTGCTATTTGGAGAGTAGGATGTCTGTTAGAGATAATGAACCCCATGAAAGGAAGAAGTAGGATTGTGAGTGGGACCTGACCAAGTTCTGGTCAACTAGGAAGTAATCTGTGGAATGAGGAGTACTCAGTAGAGTTGGGCTGATATGGTTGAATCTTCAGATCTCTACCAAGCTCAGTATTTGATCTGGGGGCAGGCCTGATGTTGCTGGACAGGGCTCAGCACTGGAGAGAGATCCTGAAAGAATTGAAAGCCAGAGGCTCTATATTCACACTCTCCACAGCAGGGTGGTGAGTCCTTCCTTGAGGGGTGCTGGGTGTTGGGTGGTACATCCCTATCGAAACATACCCCATGATTCCACTGATGATTTTTTTTTGATCCATTTCTGTTGTTCTTTTCCATGTCAAGCTCCATGCAGATTTCATTCTGCCACCTCTCATGCTTTCTTCATTTCTGACCCCATCTATTTTTGCCTTGCATATTTATTCTTTTTGCTGCTACGATTTCTGATACTAACTTCTCTGCTTTTTAAAAATGTATTTGTAAGTTTAAAAGTCAATTCTTATACTGTTCTAACAAGGGAAAGGAAGATAGTCATAGGATTTTACATCTAGAAAGATCCTTAAGTTAATGTTGTCTGAGTCCCTCTTAAGAGTAGTGTCATTACTTTAAGGTTAGTGATAGCCATAAGGTTCACTTGGGCATCTTGCAGCATTGGATGCAACGCTGTGTCAGCAGCCTGGACACAACCTGGCCTGGATTGTTTCCAGAAGACAGGACTCTCTTGCAGCTTTCATAAACCTTAGAACCATCAGTTTAAAGAATAACTTAAAATCCTTTTATAAAGAAACACTTATCTTAAGTGAATATAGGTATAAGAAAGGGGAAGGATCCCCCAAATGCTGAGCATGGTCTCAAGTAGAGACTCTCCTGGTCAGTTGATCATCTGTTCTGAATGTGTTTGACCTGCTTCTGCTATCCCTCTTGTAAGAGCGCTGCCAAAATAAACTAACTGAGCATCAGCCAGTGCCAAAGATAAATCTTTGATGTTAATGGAACTGCAGGGGGAGAGTCAATCCTGGGGAAGCTGGTTAACTAGGACCACAGAGAGTGCTGAACATGATGGATGGAGTCAAGGATCCCATTTCTATGGGAGAATCAGGAGAGTAAAATGTGACTGGCTCTGATCAAGAAATGGGGTGAAGCTCTGTAGCATATTCCACAGTAGGTTTTTGGTGGTTTCTCTGCCTTTTGGCCTGTTACTGCCTTCTGCACACATTTTATGCCTCTGTTGTGGAAATTATCACTAATAGAACCTGACAAAATTTTTTTAAAAATCACTCTGGGCCCCCCGGTGAAGGGGTGGGCTCCCAAGAGAAGGACAGTCTGGATAGCAGGTTGGAGTAGGAGGGCCCCTGGTTTGAGGAGCTGATTGCCTAGTGGTGTGTCTCAAGCCCATACTGTGCCAGAGGAACTTCTCACCCTGAAGTGTCTCGGCATCATAATGCCAGGAGGGCCAAGAGAAAGCTCATCTGCAGGGCACTGCAGATTGTTCTTGTCTGCTGCCAGTGGGGGGAACGAGAAGAGTATCTCCCTGTAGATGCTGGGACCAATGCCACTAGCAAGGTCCACGGAATCAAAAACTCACTGTTGCCTTTCCCATCCCTTTCTGTACTCCTCCTGAGACAGCCACTCCTGTGGCTCTCACTTCCGTGGCACATCCTGTAGTGTTTGCTGGGGGCTATTGGCAGGAGGCCCTGAGAAGCATGCCCATGTCTCCTACACTCACCTCAGTCAGCTTGACTGACCAGGAGGCCTGTGAGCTTTGGAATGATATTAAGTACAGCCATTGCCAGCCACCACCTGGCACATGGTTAAGGCATTAACTGCCACTTCACAGCTGGCTCGGATAAAGAACAGCTTACTCTAGACAATACATAATCGTTGTTATGGATGCACATTCAGGGCCTGTTCAAAAACCTGATGCAGGTATCCGGTGTGAAGGGTACTGCATAGATGTATGTTTGTACCTAATAGAATGTCTCCAGTTCATGGGCCAAGAAATACAGCAGCTGGCAGCCATCTCCAAAGGTGGTAAGACCCATGACTGCAAGCCCTGTTAAGCTTATCCTGGATAAGATCCATCTAGATGGGGCACAACCAGCAGGCAGACATACACTATTTCTGTCCTCCGTTGCAATGGTTGTTTGTGGCTAATGAGTAGTGAACCTCAGCATGAGCCTCTCCCATAAAAGACCAAAAATGACTGCTTGTACAGTTGAGAAAGGAAGAGAGTTTCTAATGCATTTAGGCCTGCTCCAATGGCTCTATGGAACCATCATCCCCATGAGACAGAAGTACCACTGGGAAAGCCCTGATGAGGCCACGTTGGATTCCAGTTGTTTTTGAAGGGATCCCTACCATTGGCCAAAGATTTCCTAGCTCTGCTGGCTCAGCCTCTAAGTTAATCAGCTCTGCAGGTCCTTACTGCCTTGGATAATGGGTTCATACTGCCTTGGAAAACACTCAACACGCGACTATTCAGCCAAGTTTTCTCTGCAACAGCAGTCCTCCTGCTCTGTACTGCTCTCGGAGCCTTTGTAGATCTTTGTAGAGGATCACCCATGGGAGGACACCGAGTTCATCTGTTTGCCATGTGGGTAGAACAACGTCTACCGGCAGGCATGCCAAATTGGATCATCACCAATACCCACAAGATCTTCCACACCTTCCTGGACACTGACATGATCCCATCTGGGTGGAATAGCACCAAATCTTTGCTAATGGCAGATCCCCCTCTGTGTGCTGAGAGTCCAGCCCTTGTTCCCCAGGTGTCCCCATGGACGAGGGTTCACTGAGCTCACATATTTTGGGGGCCTTCAAACCCACAGATGTTTATGGTCATACTGGACATTGAATCACAGGTCACTGTGATACTCACTTCACCAGTGCGTGTGGAAAAGGTTGAAAGCTGTTAACTGGCCAGCTCATTTTATTCATTTACTTAATAGTAAAGTGAATACTATTCTTTCCTACCAATCTTTTATCAGGTGTAAGTCTGAAAATACAGCCTATTTTTTTAAGAGAAAATTATTTTCTGCTTGTAAACTTGTTTTCATTTTTTCCCTTCAGGCCATCAAGCCCTGTCGTCCTATGACCAACAATGCTGGCAGACTTTTCCACTATAGGATTACAGTCTCCCCTCCAACGAACTTTTTAGTAAGTTCCTAATAAAATCAACTTGCATACAATTTAGGATGGAAGTAGATTACAATGTGAATACACTAAGTTACTGATTCAGTTCTTAAATGTTCTTTCTTTTAGAAATATTTATTTTGGGGGCTGTGGGTATAGCTCAGTGGTAGAGTGCTTATTTAGCATCCATGAGGTCCTGGGTTTGATGCCCAGCACAGAAAAAAAAAAAAGTTGATAAAATTGTCCTTTATTATAATGATGTTAATTTCAGCTCCCTTCTAGTCTCCTGTATTGTTTTTCATTTGTATTGTTGGTACCACACAGTAGCCAAATTCATAGTTAGCTATGAGCATGTCCTAGGATCTGGTGGTTCTAAGTGGTTGACATGTATTAACTTGACTCTCACAACCTATCTATTAAATATGTATTGTCTCCAATATTCACATGGGGCATTCATTAATCCATGTTTTACAGATGAGGTTAAGCCACTTGCTCAAGATAATTCAGGCAGGGTGGTCATTTGAAGCCAAGGATTCAGCGTCAGTATCCATATCCATATGTACACTACTTTGTAATATTGCCTCTCATAGTATGAAGTTTATTAATTCTAGTTACATGTATCATCAAGAGATTTCAGTTTCAAAATTGTACATAATTATATATTTTATAACAAGTTCATTGAGTTATAGCTCATATAACTCATATCATAAAGTTTGCCCATTTAAAATGTGTCATTCATGATTTTTTTAGTCTATTTACAGACTTGTGAAACCATTACCATAATCTAACTGTAAAACTTTTTCTTTATCCCAAAAGAAACCTTGTGCCCATTTGTCAATCCCTTCTTCCCCCAGACTTAGGTAGGGGTGCACTTTCTGTGTCTATGGAGTTGTCTATTTTAAATATTTCCTAGGGATAATACATTATGTGGTCTTTTGTGTCTTCTTTCACTTAACATAATTTTTTCCAACACTTCTATATGTTGTAGCATCCATTAGTACTTCATTCCTTCTTTTGTTTTTTTGTGCTGCTGGGTATTGAATCCAGAGCCTTGTGCATACTACGTAAGTAATGTACCACAAAGCTATACCTCTGGCCTTCCATTTTATTTCCTTTTATGGCCAAGTAATAGTTTATTATATTGTATACATATTGTTGATGTGCCATATTTTATTTATCCATTCATTCAGTTAATGGACATCTGGGTGGTCTCTACTTTTTGGTATTAAAAATAATGCTGAGGTGAACATTTGTGTACAAGTATTTGTGTGTATGTTTTGATTTATTTTGGCTATATACATAGTACTGAAACTGCTGGATCATGTGGTAGCTAGATTTGTGTTTAATATTTTGAGAAACTGCCAAAATGTTTTCTGAAGAAATGTTCCATTATTAATCATTATCTCATCAGAAGTTCTTTCCATTATATTTAATTTAGACCAGTTTGTCAGCTTAGGCAAATAAAAAGTAACAGTAATATTGCCAAAATAAATAGTGTGTACTTGTATATTCTTTAATTCTTCCCAAGTACTTATATATAACTTTTTAAAGAATGACATTTAATACCTATATAAGAATGCATTTTTTAGATTTCCAATCTTGATAACTTCTTTCATATTTAGCAATATGAAAGGAATACATAAGGAAGAGACTCTCATGGTTAGATTGACGTTTGTGCCATCTAATTACAGATTCAGTTTTCAGGTAATTAAGATCTTTGACACTGTATGGGTAGGTTTCTTCTTGGAGAGGTTGGGAATGTTGTTATGAGGGATTAAGCTGCTTGGTGCCCTGACACCTTAGAGCCTTCCAGGCAGTCTTTAGTCTTCACCTTATTGATGCTAACTTTTTTTTCACGCTGTGCTTGAATCAATTGTTACTATTTTATTCCTGTTAGTTTAAAAATACAGTTCAGTAAGACTAGAACTGGTAGTGTGTGGGATTAAATAAAACTAATTCTTAGAAAATGAAGCTATATATAGCCCATTTTTTTCTTAGGGCATCATTGATTGTCTCAGTACATAAATGTTATGCTTAATATCTGAAGCCAGAGAATTCCACCAAGTCAAAGATTCCATTCAAAATTTGGAAAATTGAGCCTATAAAGTCACTTGTTTCTGATGTTGGATTCTTTGTATCCTAATGGATTTCTGCACATGCAAATGTTGTGATTTATTTAAATCATGCTTTATGTTTCTGTTTACTTTTAGACTGACAGGCCAACTGTTATAGAATATGATGATCATGAATATATCTTTGAAGGATTTTCTATGTTTGCACATGCCCCCCTGACCAATGTAAGTGTGTATGGATTGGCTCCCTTTCCCTTTCTTTGCACCTCCGTCCTTCCTTCCCTTCATTCTTTCCTTCCAAAAGTCAAAATAGAATTTCTCTCATCCATCCCTAAGAAACATTTATTTTGTTTCCTGCTGCATGAGTTTCAGGAAGTCTGTGTGTGGGTGGGGGTGTGACATCTGTGCTAATGAGTCACAGGTTTGATCCACATTAAGTGGTGTAAGTAAACATGTGCCAGAATAACATTTTGAGAGGTGTGAAAGATTGAAAAAGGAGGATAAACTGTGGAATAATGTGTTAATACTATTTTGGGTTGATTGTCCTTCAAAAGAAAGTTAGAAAGTTTTAAGGAGAAGCTATTATATGTAGTCCATGAGCAATTTCAGGAAAGAGAAATAGAGCTTTTTCAGGACATCTGGAGCCTGAGTTAACTTCATGTGGTTTTCTGCTTTTGATTTCTAGGCATATATCCTCTTTAAGATTCTTAGTCTGACATATGTGGACATTAAGGTTACTTTGTTGATAATTAGTTCAAATGGAAGTTCTGCATCAGTGACTCAAAATCTTTCCCTCTCAAAGCTGGCAGTCTTGGGAATTGCCCTCCTTTCCAGTTGGACATGAATTGACTGGCATCAGTGCTGGAGAAAGCATTGCAGTGTGCTTTTACCCGGGTTGGACTCTGGTATAGATCATATTGAATTACAGTTACAGTGTTTTGGTTATATGAACTGATACTTGCAACTAGAAAATAATTTTAATATTATTCACTTAAAACATGAATTTTTTTTAAATTGAAGACTAAGACTCAACTCTTGCCCTTACCTTGGCTCTTTCTATCATTTCTTTTTGCTTTATTAAGTTGATTTGATTCCAGATAGTGATAATAATTTAAAGCAAATTGTTTTCATATGAAATTTTCTTCTTTATTCTACAGTACATTTAATCCTGAAGGATTGTCTTTTCGAAGATGACTGTCATAAATAAAATAATTTGATAGTCTGTATTACATCTGCTCCAGGGTGGACCATCTATTCACTAGTATAGAAAAGGGACCATGTTAAAAAGGCACTAGGAAGTTTTTAGATTTCAGTGATTTCTTTGAGTGCTCTCTCGTGCTCTCTCTCTCTCTCTCTCTGTGTGTGTGTGTGTTAGACCCTCAAGTTATTTGTTGCATTAAATTCCACAGTCTTAGAGTTTTAAATACCTGTGGAAGTCATCTAGGTTCCCCATACCCCATCTAATGTTTTTCCTTCTTCCAGAGTACTTGCAAATACAGATAATTTAGTTAGCATGAAAATACTTAAAATTATCTATCACCCTTCTTTCTTAATTCCTTAGAAATTATATAGATTTCATTTTGATATTTAATGTCACTTTAATCACAGAAGAAAAGCAGAGTGGTTTCATAGATAACTGGGTCTATCAGTGAATTCCACTTACTTAGCTGTTCATGATTTGACATCTAAGTCTTTGTAAACCTTGGTTTTCTCATCTGTAAGATACAGGTATTAGTTGTAGTCATGTTATCAGTTGTGTGAAAGGTATTAAGACAGCTGGGTTTGAATCTTCTTTTATTTGGTGGTACTGGGTTTGAACTCAGGCATTGTACTTGCTATGCAGGCATTGTACCACTTAAACCATTTACTCAGCCCCTTCTAATTCCTTTTTGATCTTGGACAAGTGATTCTCTGAGTTCATTAATAATTTTGGTTAGAATAAGTCTCCTAGCACAAGCTTTGGCACCAAGAGTAGTTAACTCTAAATCACAGTTTTTACTATTGTAAAGGATAAGACTGAGGAAAAGTTCCTGACATCAGCATTTATTTTATATAAATACTGCAGTTCTTAAAATTAACTTGAGAATTTTACTCTGTAATGAGGAGCCCCATCATTTAGGCTAGAGATGTTGATAAAATAAATTGAGTTTTAGGCTAAGTATTGTATAGTTCATAGGAATTAGAGCCATCAGAGACCTCTTTTTTTTTTTGGTGGTACAGGGCTTTGTGCTTACAAAGCAGGCACTCTACTGCTAGAGCCACACTTCTAGTCCCATCAAAGACCTCTTGAATTTCAAATAGCCTCCAAGAAAAAATAATTTTTAACTGTTTTACTGATCTGAATCATTTTCCTATCAAGAGAGCAGATCAGCAAGAAGGGCATAAAGATGACAATAATAATAGAATTGTGAACAAATCTAGTTCTGACATTCTCTCAAGATTTTGAAGGGAATTGAAAGTCATGTGGGCAAAGTATACAGCATTCTGGGAGAATTTTATTCTTTTATGTAGTATGTTTGTTGTTACTTATAATATGTGATGTTACTAAGAGCTTTGACAATGTAACTGAAGTTACAAAAGTATAAGCAGTAGGTACACAATATCTTATCCCATTCTCAGATGTGCAAGAAACCAGTTTTGTCATTTCCCTCCCATCAAGTATTCAAACCTTTTTTAGTACTGGGATTGAATTTGGGGCCTTGTGCTTGCTAGGAGAGCTATGATTTGAGCCACACCTATGGTTCTTTGGTTTTTAGTTTGTTTTTCAAATAGGGTGTGTGCTTTTGCCCAGGCCAGTCTTGCACTGCAATCCTCCTACCTCCACCTCCCTAGTAGCTGGGATTACACACCTATTTCTGTCAACATAAAAGATGATAATTTCTTTTAGTTGCTGGCAGAGATTGGTGTCTTTCTGGCCTGTGGGATTCCAGTACTTACCATATAATATGGTATATTTACATTTCCTTTTGAGATATACTCATTGAATTTTATATTCATACTGCTTAAGTTAAAATTCTGTCTTCTCAAGTGTGAACTGTGTTATCTTGTACAATTTAAAGAAGCTTTTGAAGTATAATTTTAAAAAAGCTTTTGTTTTCTTATCCATAGAGTGAGGGCTACATGATTCAATAGATGTGAGGTGCTCAGGCACACAAAGTAAAATTAACTTTGGAATTCCCAGTGCCATTAGTGATGTATTTTAAAGAAGTGATAGTAGGCATTTATGTTATTTTATAACATTGGCTGGGAGCTGTCTTGGTGATCTTTGAAGTAACAGTTTTTTTGGTTGACCAACATGTAGTAAGATGACAAGTTCTCTTTGGGTCTTAGGGAATGGGGATAGATTAGGAGACACTGCCTTTGCAATTTTGTGTGAATTAGGACTCTGGTGTTTGGATGAAGCCCCATTTGATTGGATGTAGCCAATGAAATATATAAAGAGAAGAGTTCAAAGAAAAACTTCTAATAAGTGAGTTTTGTTGAAATGAGATAGGGTTGTACTTGCATAAATTGTCTAGCAGAGGTTTTTGCACATGTTAGGAAAGAGGAAAAGTTGCACTTTGCTCCTCTGCCTGCCTTTTGTGTAGTTCCAGGAGCTCTTTTTCTTTTCTCTCCTGTATACTCTCTTACTGCATAGTTTACTCCCACCCACGTTTTTTTCCCTTTCTTGCATGTTCTCATTCCTGTTGGTACAGCTGTGGTGGGTAGTTCTGCTCTAGTGTTTCACATTGTCTGTGGGAATGCACTTTTGTGATGGTCCTTTCCTTTGTGAAATTGAACTCATCATCCCTGCATATTGAGTTGGAGGTACTCAGGTGACACCTTCATGAATTTCTACTTTTACATTAATGCCATTATGATCTAACTGGTCACTTAAGCTGGAAATCCAGAAGCTGTTCTCTGTTCTTTCTTCCTTCTCTCTTTCATGTCAGAATGGTCACTATGTAGATGAGTAACATCTCCTAACTTTGTTTAAAGAATTTCTGCTCCTTTCCAATCTTTCATTTGACTCTTGGACTCGTGCATTTGACTTTGGTCTGGTTATCTGGTCTATGCTCCCCTCCAATTCATTTCCACACTTCCCATAGTGACCCAACTAAATTATGCACTATTGTAGTCTTTTACTTGAATATACTTGAAAATACTTGAATGATTTCACTGTAACATGGCTATAAAAGAAGCATAATAGTTTATCCTTTTCTCTCTAGAATAACTTGGCTGCTCTGTGTTGACTTTTTTGCCTCAAGTCTCTCTTCTGTGTTTTACTAGAAGCTAAATAAATACCTGTGCTGTCTCAATTGTATTTTTCTGAATGGCTAAAGAAATCCCTACCTTTGAAGACTATTGTTGCTCCTTTTTTGGTTCTTTTGTGTGTTATCCTTTTTTTTTCCTTTTGCTTATTAATTGCATTTGTAAATTACATGGTATCAGATTCTATTTGTACTTGTTTGCAGCCTTTCTTCCTCTTCTAGATCCTCGTTTTCTTTCTGTTTGAGATGGTGTCTCACCTCAGGTGTCTCACCTGTTGCCCATGGCTGCCTAGGTTGGCCTTGAACTTGTGATCCTCCTGCCTCACCCTCCCAAATTGCTAGAATTACAGGCATTGTACCAGCTTACTGGGCTCTAGATCTTATCCTTACCTTTTAAGGCAGGTCCTGTGTGTTATTTTAGGTTGATCATGAACCTCACATAATTGTAGGCAAAGAATTTGTATTTTAAAACCAGGTTAAAACATTAGTGACTTTAGCATGTCATGATTAGTTTAAGACTTAGTACTAACTAGAAGGTTGAAAATGAGTCTCTTATTCAAGTTCGTTATAATAAAAATAAGAGAGCAACCATTATCTTTTTTTTTTTAAATGGACACCTAAGAAGTAAACTTCATTTCTGAAAAAAAGATTTCCAGTAGATGGCATTATAAGACTGTTTTTCTAATTATGCCTTTGCTGGTGAAGTTAAAGTTTATTTTGGATTGTTTGGTTTGTAAAAGTATTTAGTGTCTCATGGACAGATTGTGCAGACAGAAAAGGCCACATGACATATCTCTAGGACCTGTGGGTTTATTACCAGTTATCACCAGTTAGTCAAGCTACTGCACTAACTCCTTTGCCTCCATGTCTCATTCTTTCATTCAAAATACTGTGGAAAACTGTTGTGTCTAAATACTTGGCCAATGTCTGATAATACATTGATAGAATAAGATAGATATGAATTCATTTCTTTCCAAGTTTCTCTTAATTTTTACATATACTCTGAGTATTACAACAGGTAGTGAGAGGCATATGCTCTAGTAGTTAAAAACTGAGGTCTAGATCTAGAGCATAAATCCCTAATTTGCCAGCTGCTTTTTACTGTATGCAAAGTACTTTTTGACTTTCTGCCTTAGTTTCCTCCCATTGTACAATGAGTATAATACTCAAACCTATCTTGTAGAGATGCTGTGATGGTTATATGAGTAAATATTGTGAAACATTAGAATAGTGGTTGGCCCAATAAATACTAACTACCACAATTGCTTTTGCTGAGAGCCAGACAGGTAGCATGGTTGTATGCTTGTGAATAACTTATGAATCCATAAGTAGTAAGTTGTCATCCTGCCATCCCTGATCTGCCTGAAGAGCCAAAATATTCTGTAAGATCTAAAAAAAGTTGTGACTGGTGTTACTAATTTTTTTGAGGTAGTATGTTTGGTTTTAATGAATTCTTGTCATATTTTTTGTTGCTGCTGCTAATACCATTCATTAAGCACCAATGTTATGCAGATTTCCTGTAGAGACCTGGCCAGCCGGCTTCTGGCCATTAAAATCCAGCAGTTGTGGTCAAACACAATGTGCAATGTAGTTAGCAGCTTGGATGAAGGCGAAACTTGGTTCATGGCCTTCTGGGTCCGGTACCAGACAAGTTTAGTATGAGCCTGTAGGGAGAGATTGGGGAACTGAACCACCTCTCTTCTTATTGCAGATTCCACTGTGTAAAGTAATTAGATTCAACATAGACTACACGATTCATTTCATTGAAGAGATGATGCCTGAGGTAAGGGAAAAAATTACTTAACAGCTTGATGTAGTTTGCTCTTTTGTTTATTCCACACTTGAAAAAAAAAAAAGAAGAGGCATAAAACTTGGTCAGCTCTGGCTTTTGCACAGGATTATCATGTGATTTTTGAAAGGCTTTTGCACCCAAATTATCATGTGATTTTTGAAAGGGTTACTGAGATGTAGCTCTGGTGTCAAGGTTAAAATTTGGGTCATTTTAAAACTCATTGACCTATTTTTGAACCTGTTTCTGCTTGCATTGCATCTGCTGATAGTAACTTTACATCTGTTACTAGTTTGTTTTGCATAGGGGACAGATTTTGGTTATAAGCCATTATCAGAGAGGAAATTGGAATAGAGAAACTGAATGCAATAACTGCTGGAATAATTTTATTCATTATCTTCAATGACAAGATCAATACTTGGTTCATTTTTCTTCCTATATATTTACATATTTTTCTAATTGTTTTTCATTGTGGATGCTGAGTAGCAGATTTATGTAAATATATGCAAGATATTTAAAATTCCAAGGCAAGATTAATGCGAATCTCAGAATGATTCATTGCCTGATCTTGAATTTAGTGGTGTCAACAAATCACACTAAGAAATAACTAGACAGCACACAAGCTTGTTCACCTAACATTGTGTTGGAGTTGGGGTTGATTTCTGGAGCTGCTGGCTCTTCTTGCAACTCATTTAACAGGAAAGCTCTGTTGTGGACAAAGAGCACTGAGGGGAATTGATGGGTATGACATGCATGCTAAGTTAGTACCTCTTTCATTCTGGGCAAGTCCTTGTCCATTCTACCTGCCATTCGTAGAGTTAAAGAAAAGGAGCCACTCCTTCATTCTCCTATTTAGAAGGGTTTTTTTTTTTTTGGCTTCCATTTGGTTTTTAAGATCATAAGTTTTCACTTGCTGTGATGAAAGTTTA